ATTTTGCAGGACTCCAAAATATCGAAATTAGTTTAATTAATAACCCACAGTGGCCTCTCAATGTTCAAGTGAAAGAAAGAACTATGTGTCTGTAATTTTAACAAAAAGTTAGAAAATGGTTAAGCTAGCCAGGCGGTGGTGGTACACGCATTTAATCTCACTACTCAGGAGGCAGAAGCAGGCAGATCTCTGTGAATTGGAGACCAGCCTGGTCACAAGAGCTAGTTCCAGGACAGCCTCCAAAGCCACAGAGAAACCCTGTCTTGAAATAGCCCTCCCCACCAAAAGAAAGTGATTAAGCTTAGTGAGGCAACAGAAGCTAAAAGGGGATTCTCTTCTACCAAACATGTAAGCCACACACCCAAAGGAAAAGTCCTGGAGGAAGTTATGTGTGTTTCTCCATGAATGCAGGAACTACAGGAAAGTGACAGCTTACTACTGCCATGGAGGACCCAACCAGTCACAACATCCCACAAGACAAAGTCTAGCCCAAAGCAAAATTCATGTTGTTTCAATTTCATGAAAGCTGCAAACGTCCAACACCAGCAGAGGGTGGTTTGAGGGTTTGAGGAAAGAAATGGAGCAGCCACTGTATTTCAAAAGGACAAGGCGGTGTGAGGGTGCTGGTGCAGAGGCTGCCGCAGGCTCTCAGGCAGAAGGAGCTTTCTGCTGGAAGAAGAGGTCACTAAGGACTTATATAGCTAGAGAGAAGTAACTCAGTGTCCAGGTTCAAAGCTTCAGAGGCCAGGCTTCCTCTCCTGTTAAGGACTGATGCAGCCATAACTTTAAGGTGAAACCAGTGCTCACTCTGAAAATCCTAGGGCCTCTGAGAATCACAGTAGAGGTTCTACTAACTAACTCTACTCTGCCTGTGTTGTATACATGAAGCACACAGCCTAGATAATAACACATCTGTTTACAAGCTTGTTTGTGAACATTGTAAGCCCACTCTAAGACTTACTGCTCAGATAGATTCCTTTCAAAATAACAGTATCACTGGCCATGTACCCAGTCACCCAAGAGCTCTGGTAGAGTTCTACAAAGACATTAATGTTGTTTTCTTGCCTGCTAAAACAATGTCCATTGTACAATCCATGGGTCAAGGAGTAATTGTGACTTTCAAATCTTACTATTTGAGAAATGCATTTTATAAGGCAATAGCTACCATAAATGGAAAACCTTTTGGAAAGGATTCAATATTCTAGATGCTCAAATCCAAGACATATATAGAGAAGGGCAAACATCATCATTAACAGGAAGTTAATCCTAATCTTCACAGACAGTTTTGAGGGGCTCAAGATTGTAGTAGAGGCAGCAGAGGTGGTGGAACAGTAGGTACCAGAGTCAGAAGTGGGATGTGGAGTTATGGTGGCACTGCACTGTCACCATGATTGAGCTCTAATTGGGGAGGGGCTGTTCCCCATGATGAGAAAAGTTCTTCTGAGATGAAATCTTGTCTAGAAAATATTATAGATTCACTCTGGTCTTTCAAAGAAGTCCTTTCATGGGGAAGGTGCCACCAAACTACATCACACGCTACAGAGAAATCCCTCATGAAAGGTGCATGACTGACAAAGTGGCAGTCACTAATCTGATCAATCAATAGCCACTGATATCAGAGCAAGACCTTCAACTAGCTCCAACGTTACTACTTGCTGAAGGTTTTAAAACTGAAATATGCACATTTTAGGACACCACGGTGTTACTGTAGCTGGAGACTGCAGCATAGTGTATACATGCCTCTAAATGTACCAGGGAGAGCAAGTCATGGAGCTGGACTTATTGTATGGCTTGCTTAACTGTGGTAGTCTGGAACCAAAGCCCAGGGTGTCTTTATGATACTCCTGGTGTCATCAGTTTTCAAGCTCTGTAAACGCCTCTTCTCCTCTCTCAGAACCACAGTGTAATGTAGCTTCAGTAAAGGAGACACCTGAGGCTCTCTAGTGGGGGTGGCTGAGAAGATTCCCAATGCACAGAGAGAGGCCATGGGTACTATAACTCCACTGCCTAATCTTTCCTACATCAAAGAGAGGGAGTGGCCATGGTCAACATAGTCTGTCATGCTTCCTTCTCTGAAGCAAAGTCTCAATGCCTGCTCCAAATGCATCAGAGACTGAGCTACGTTTGGTACAGGCTCTGATTCTTTTCATCTTTATATACAAACACCATGAAGAGCAAAGTAGCAGGCACTTTGTTGTTGGCTTGCTTCCTTGTTTGTTTTTCTGTTTTTGTTTTGATGGTATGAGAGATGGAATCCGGATCCTGTACACGTCAGGCAAGAGCTCCACCACTGAACTACATCCCTAGTGCTCACTAATATATTTTATTGCCTTTGAAGAACTAGCAAACCTAGTGAGCTGTGAGAACACTGTGCATACAGGCTTAGGAATCCTGTGAACTGGTGACTATTTGTCTCCTATGTTAGCCCACCTAGGAGAAGCTCAGTGGAAACTCTGAAGAAGGAAATTCTAAGAATAGAATCTAGTGTAAAGAGCGTCCCTGTTCACTGGGCTTATCTGGAGAACTGCTATGCCAGATGGTCTGCCAACTAAACTAGCAATGACTAGATTCCTATATTCTAGCACAGAGAAGATGCCAGGACATACTACTAGCAAGAAGGCCTTCAACTTAGAACTTCTGTGCTATTCAAATCAAACTATAAAACACCATTAACATGCAACTGCAAGACATGAAAAGATGCCCAAAACCTAGAAAAGACTAGGTTAAAACACATAGTTTGCTTTAAAATTCTATTAGTATATAAACTGAAGATATCTAGAGGCACATAATAGAAAATATTAATAGTAATTAACTACTGGTAGTAATATTAGATTAAAATTACAGAAAATGCATAGATTATGGGAAGAACATCTATAATTTTTATTTCTGTGATGTTTACTTTTTTTTTTTTCAAGAAAGGATTTCTCTGTATTGTTTTGGAGGCTGTCCTGGAACTCACTCTGGAGACCAGGCTGGCCTCAAACTCACAGAGAACCGCCTACCTCTGCCTCCCAAGTGCTGGGATTAAAGGCGTGCACCACCAACGCCCGGCAGATGTTTACATTTTTATAATCACATGTATTATCTGTATAATCAGAAAAAGAAATGGAAAAGTAAGATGAAAATGAAAACAACTTTTTCTTTATTTACCAAAGGCAAAAGGGAAGTGGTGGAGAGTGACACTGTGACACTACTTTCTGAGATGTACTGAGGCCCCACAACACTTCTTATTTTGCAGGTTTAAAAAAATCACTTATTTTAAGTGATTGGTGTTTTGCCATGAGTGTCAGGTCCTCTGGAACTGGAATTACAGACAGTTGTGAGCTGCCATATGGGTGCTGGGAATTGAACCTGGGTCCTCTGGAAGAGCAGTCAGTGCTCTTAACCACTGAGCCCTCTCTCCAGCCCCACTCCTCAGCACTTCTGAGGGTCAGAACGATCTTTGAGGACTTGTTCTCTAAGCCCCTGTACTTGAGCATACAACTTTCCATATTTGAGCACCGAAGCACTGCTGCCAAACAGTCTAAAACTTCTGATCTAAAGTTGGTGTTAATAATTGATTTCAGAGTGTTTCTCAAACACTTCTTGGTGTTTGGGCAGGCTCTGAAGGAATGGTGATAAGCTGTCTTGTGTATTTCCTGAGAACAAGGTTTTGTAATTGAACTCTGCTGCAACTCTGTGTGGCCTGAGTCCAAGGCCTGGGACTATATGTTCAAGGTTCCTCTGCCCAAGAAGGCCAATCCGCATTCCCTGTGCTGCCCCTTCCCGGGGTAAACCTCTCTGAATCATGGTTGACCACCCCTCAGGAGGAAGACTGAGAATCACCAGACACTATTTTCACATGAATGGGAAATCAAATCTAAGCAATTAGAAACAGACCAGGATAATGACTTTCTGAGGTAGGAACATAATTGAAAATGTTAATAGTAAGTACTGAAGGTAAATTTTTGTTAAAATTTCAGAAAATGAGTAAGTTAGGGGGAGAGCAACTTTTACAATTTATATTTCTGTTATGTTAGTATTTCTTAAAGTCACACATATTATCTGTATGACCAAAAAAAAAAAAAAACAACAACGAAGAAATGGAAAAATAAAACAAAAATGAAAAAAACCCTTTTCCTTTCATTAAGCAAAGTGAGGTTTAGTGATGGAAAGTGGCACTGTGAAGCTACTTCAGGGAGCATGGGGCTCTACAGCTGAGTAGGGCGGTCCTGGCTCAGACTGGTTCCACGTCATGGCTGTCTTCCCGCTCAGGCTGGGTAGTGGGATTGTAGATGTGCCCCACCATGCTGCGCTGGCCAGCAACTAGTTAAACCTTTGTCTAAGAATTCCTTCTCCTCTCTCTTTCTTCAGATGGGAACAGTGACTGCCTAGAGACCCCTTTCTCTAACGCTGTGGTTGTACCTTGAAGGTTTCTATGGAGGTTACTAGTTTTGCTCTAGTCTCACTCACTTAAGAGAAAAATCTGACTTTAGGAAATGTACATGTAGGACTTCAATATCTGGACAAAAATGTCTGCTGTATCCAGTCTAGAGCACAAAGGATGGTTTTTGTAAAGTTTGGTCATACATTATCTGTGATGAAGGCGAAAGTCCCCGAAATGAAGTTCCTTTCCCTCTGTTTACTGCTCCTGACTTGCTTTCATAGTCACACCCACACCTGGGTTCTTACTGGGTGAAGCTAACATGTATTTTCTGTTTCGGGTGTGGGACGTGGAGGAGGTGTTTTCTCACTGAGGCAGGGACCCTAGCTGTGAATTTCTGCATCAGAGCCAGCAGGGGGAGCTCACTCACACAAAGATTCTGAAGCCAGCTCCCCTGGGAAAACAATTCAACTTTTTCTTTGGCTGTGAGTGAATTATCATACAATAAAGCAATAGGATGTTGATTTGGTGCTGAGATGAAGAACCCTTGACAAGGTATATTTAGAAAGCATCTAGCAGCCACTGCTTCAAGGTCAAGACTACCCACATAGCAGGTGCATACATACTCTGCCCATACCTGCTTCTCAAGGCTTGGTTTGCTAAGCTGTACAGTCTGAGGTCCAGCAAGTCTGGTCCCTGGAGTAGCTATCACAATGCTGGTGAGCTGGGCCATGGGGAACGTTTTGGCTATGGTTGCGGTCTGCCCATTGACGACACGGACGGGGTGGATGGAATTCTGGGATGTGGGGAGGGTTGTAGGTGTAAACTTGGTCAGCATGACAGGCCTCTGGATAAGCTGAGGAGCTGCAAGCATGGGAGGAGGCGCTGGAGCAATAGGAATGTTATTCTGGGCCACAGGCTTGGGTCGGACCTATGAGAGAGAGAGAATAATGCTCTATTACTGGAGGTAGCTACCTCTTATAGCATTTCCAAGCAGATTGGTACCAAATGAGGCTCATGACAATCTTCTAAGTCTGAATATTAACTTAACTTAAAATGATCATGTGATGGCTGCTACTGAGACAGTGGTAGGAACTACGTTTAACATTGCTACCAACACCCATGAATATATATTCCTAAAACATAAAAGCTTCATGAAATGTACACCACATTGGTTTCACTGTGTAAAAACATGGACTGACCCTTTGATTCTTTACTGAAAACATTTCATAGGGCTCCAGATGGGGAACAGCGAATGAAAACAGACAGCTCACATAAAGTGCCTGGACAACAGTGGGAGTCACATCACCTCTGATGATGTCCTGACTGTCCTTCCTATCCAGTCTTAGGTACTTCCAGCCTCTCGTCTGCACAGCAGAAAGATAGAATTTCTAAAACTTGTCACGTACTTCCCTGAAGATACTTCCACAGATCTCTGAGGCTGCTAGGATACAGCCCATTTCTCTGCACAGGAGCAAGGACCCCAGGTTCTTCCCTAGTGCACTCGTCCAGGCCCTTCTCTAACTGGGCCAGCTTCATGGTCTCTGCACAGCCACAGCGATCCCCTTGGTTCCTTGAACACATACGTGTGTTCCCACTCCACACGCAGCTTACACTGTACTCTCAGCCTGGGGTATTTTTTAAAATTCCTTCTTCAAAATTTTATCAGACAGACTCCACTGGGACTTTAGGCCTCACATTGAACCTAGATTCTTTAAGGAGATTGTGACTGCACTTTCACTATCAGTCCAGATTGGCCAGGGTCCCTTCCACGTGCTAAGCCTGCCATACTTCCGTTACGGACATCTTCATTCCCTATAGGCAACTGTGATGCTGCTCTCGGACAGTCGAGAACTGTGTCTTAAAAATCAGCATATCCAGGCCACAAAAGCTTAGTATCATGTTTGCTACCCACAGTACTTACTAAAGATCTATTTGGAAATTAACAGGATGGCCTTCTCTCATGCTAGCACTGTGTGACCCCTCACAGATGACTTCTTTCCCTTCTCAAAGAGTAACTGTTGGCTTTTCTGTTGGATGGACTGCCTAGAGTCCACCAGGGTCAGTCTTGTGTTGGGAGAACTGTCAGGGGCTAGAAGCTGCAGTATTGCTTGAGCCCAGGAAGAAAAGCCTGATGCAGACCCCTACTCCAACATTTGTAAGCAAAGTTTCACATTGATTTGTTTGGCTGTTGATTCTGTCTCTACTCCTTTTAGCAAAGGGAAAAGACATCAGAAGTGATGCATATCTCTGTTCCCTACTGCCAGGACAGGTGTGACTATATCCCCCGCATGTTAGTAGTGCAATGATGCCTCCAATGGCATTATCTTGGCTGCTTTCCATCTAGGTAGCTTTGCTTCACTTTCACTACGCGGGTAGGTCCATGAGGATCACAGGCCACTTTACCCCTCACGGGACTTTTCACTGGCCACTCACCTGTGGAAGAAAGTTTGGACGTGGAGTGAGTCTAGGAGGAGGGATAAACTGTGGTACTTTGATGGGCTGAGGAGGTGTTGCTTGAACCTGCTTAAAACAAACAAATAAAACAGGGAAGATAAATAAACCCGAGAGGGCAGTGACAACTCAGTGTTGGAGGCAGACACTCACAGGACACAGGTGTCTGCTCTCCACATCACACAAGGTTCCCACCAGCTCTTGCCATGCAGTTCACCATGTGCATAACACTGCTTTAGAAACTTCTTTCCCACTTGCACACTCTCCCATAAAGTGATCGACCACGTGCCTGTCTCCTCTCATACCTTATGCACAAGCAAGCAGGAGCAGCAATCTTCCACAGTTCTCTCTGACACTCATGAACTCTCTTAGATATTCTAAGAGTCAAAACTAGATCTAAAGTGAAATCAAACCTGCTGCCTGTCTGAATGGATTCCCCCACCACCTCCAAAGATTCAGGTTTACATAACAGAAAATGGATAAATAGCTTTCTTCCTACAGAGAACTTTTGAGCCCTAGGATCAGGCTGAGTGATAGGGCTATATCTCTAAGGACTCCTGGGTAAGTGACAAAGCTTCACTTTGTTGCTACTTTTACTCATTATTTATAATTATTCAAAAAGTCACCAAGAGCTTTGTCATCTGAAGAATATAGCTGAGTATCATCACAGTTTGGACCTGGTTCTCATACACTTCCAAGAACAACAGTGTCTAAATGGCTCAATCCTGGAAATCTCATGGACAATCTTCTTCAAGTACTCCCTCCAGGGAATCCTCCCTCTAGTAGGACCTGGCCTTTGGCACATTAATCTCTAAATTTCTTTAACATTTTTAAAGTGTACCCCAACCAACTCTAAGTACTTCCTGGCTGCATTCAAATTAGAGGAATAATGAACTGAAAGAATGTAGCAGGGGTTTTCCTCAAAGTCAAATACAGCCCAGGGAGTTTTAGCACTCAGGGTTCATGGGGATAGGGACGGGGCAGTGGACAGAATAATGGAGGGAGAGAAAAGTGAAACAGTATGTGTCTTTGTGAAGGACATTTTCCTTCCCAAACCAAGTCCTACTTTGACCTCAGACAGTACTAAATCCGGCCCCTGGAGTCAGGACAGCTCTGTAGTTAACAGACAGCCCCATAGGGGAGTTTGCTTTGCTAGGAGGATGATAGGAGCTGAGAAACCCAGCAGGAACCTAAAACAGAAACACTCCACAATGCACAATCTGAACCCTCTCGTGTGAACACACATGAGTAGCAGCTGCTGGCTTACCAGAGTGACTGTGTTTTTTGCCACAATTTGGACAGCCTCTGCCCCAGGCCCAGTGACCTTACTAGACGTCTGGAGGTTGACTGGTGTGTTCTGCACATCAGTGCTGAGCACAGCTTTCTGACTGTTGATGGCGGTCACCATAGCAATGGTAGGTCTCTGGCCCACAACAGAGGCAGGCATGGTCGCAGTTGCTGCTTTCAAGACGAGAGGTAGTGTCTTTGTGGTAATCATAGAAGCTGTAGTTACAGTCTTCTAGGAGACATGGAGAACAGACATTAGGACACTGAAATGTGATCCCATTGAACAATATGCTTCTGAACTCCCAAAGGAAACAAAGCAACCAAGTTTGTCTATAAAATGAACATTTGTGATGTGGAATACGCTTCTTACTACAGAGAAAGACAGTCTCTAGCTTCTCAAGGTAGGGAATGTTCACTGCCGTGAGTGCACACTCATACAGACATAGGTTGTAAGCAATGGACAGTGCACATCTACAGATATAGAACAATGCTTCTGCGTTTTCTAACTCTGCATAAAGTCAGTCAACTCATACGTAAGTTGGACATTGTCTCTGTCCCTGACTGCTATAACCACCAATCTGGCTACTTGCCGCCTGTGACACAAAGGAAGGACAGTGTCTTTTCATCTTTCTGAGGGTCCCTCTGGGGAAGCAGAAGGGAAACTCACAGGAGGATCAGTATAACTGCTACCACAGAGGTAGTGAACCCCAAGCCCCAGTAATGATGCTGTTAACGAGTATAGGAAACACCAGTTTTCTGTTCCAAAGGGGGCTCTGCCACTACCTACAGTGTTTCCTCTGGAGAACCAACGTGGAAGTGATCAAAGAGTCAGGAAACCGACAAGGCGGGACAAACACCTGGGTTTTGAAAGCCTTGGGAACCAGAAGAGGGGCTTCAGTGAGGACCTGACCGATGCTTCCAGGCCATTTCCCAAGCGTTGAGGCTTCACTCGCCAAATTTTTTACTTGACCAATTACAAACGCCTGTTACAAAAACCACCTCCTCTCATGGTACACATATCTACCTGGTACCACTACTAGTCACTCAAGATGTAGACCTTTCAGGAACACAAACCTTCATCTCCAACTCACTGGTTCTGGTATTTTTCCACTTTAACATCCCCTTCTAAAATGTACTCTACAGCTTGGCAGCCACTAGATGCACCTGACTTTTTATAAACTTTAATTAAAAAAATTAAAAGGTCAGTCCTGCACTTGTACTCATCACATTTTTCTAAGCCACATGTGGCAAAAAACTAGCAGCTGGACAATAGAGTGAGAGCATGCCTAGCTCTGCAGGAGTTCCAGTGGCAGCCCTTTCTTCTCCACACACCTGGAAAACCTCCCCACTGAAGTTTCACTTCCATGCCATGTGAGCACCATGCATCCAGCTACCGAATATATGTAATTACTTACCTTTTCTACCTGACATGTGCATCCATACATACACATTCATCTTTTAAAATCTCCTTTTAACAACAACAACATAATAATGTGTCCTCATCCATCTACCACAATATAAGCAGCAAACCCGTGTCTATAATTAAACCCCCCCAAATCGGGGTTTGGAGAGATGGCTCAGAGGTTAAGAGCATTGGCTGCTCTTCCAGAGATCCTGCGTTCAAGTCCCAGCACCCACATGGTGGCTTATAACCATCTATAATGAGATCTGATGCCCTCTTCTGGCTTGCAGGCATACATGCAGAGAGAATACTGTATACATAATAAATACATCTAAAAAAAAACCAAAAAAACCCCAAATCTTTGCTTTCGTTTCCAAGGTACAACATGGGCAGCTCATGCCACCCACGGCTGCCTTCTCAAATGTGAAATGGCACCTAGGCAGCAGCAGGTCAGGGTTGAAAGCCAGACAACAGTTAAATGCCATTTTATCACTGGAAGTGCTATAGTATGTAGCAGCATAGGCTCTCTCACAAAGCCAGTTGTAGAAAGAGTTTTAAACACAGTATGGTATCAGCCTCATCTTTCAATTTGAATACAAAGAGCTTTTGAAGTGGTAGGTGAGCAAGCCATTCCAGATGGCCTTCAATCCTAGTGTAACACAGGCTGTGGATGTAAAACTCTGGCCAGCAGAACTCAATGATACAGATTTTAAAGCAGTTTGTTGATATTGCTTTAAATGAGGTCAATGAACTTTTGTTTGAAACACCTCTAGTTGAGGCAAATCATTATCAATATTGGGTTAACTCTAAACTGATTATTGTAGCAAACACTGAAAACACAAAACTATATACTTACCATTAATTCACTGCTTCCATAATACTAACCCAGACAAGTTACTTCACACTGTAACTCAGTATTTATTCTCCTTTACAAGTATGTAATAGTGGCTGATTTCATTTAACATACTTCAGCATCTATGCAAGTCTATATAACACATAGGCCAAAGACATAGTACAAATGCCTCAGCAAAAGCTCCTGAAAGATTATATTCATAGCTTACTTAAGGTTTGCACTTCTGGTCAGCCACTCACTCTATTCCAAATATTAGAGAACATGAAGCAAATTCTTTGAGTGTTAGGGTTTAGATGAGAAGGGGGATTCTGACATACAAGCATATTGAAGATGCCTGAGCTGTCCCAACAGGAAGAAGAGAAGATGCCGAAAGAATGTGTATTGTCATCAAAGATAATGATTTCATGCAAGTTGTGTTTGCACCTAGTTAGTTAATGCTGCTCAAGTCTGATAATCTTTAAGAGAAGGCAGCAGATATTACAGTTCCATTTAGTTCTTTTTTTTTTTTTGCAAATAAGACACATTTATTATTGGAGAATGTATAGTTCAAGAGTCCAGGCATGGCTGCACTGAATCCTTTGCTCATTGTGTCAGCCAAGCTGTCTTTCTACATGGAACAGTCCAAGTCCAAGTCACTCCCATTTAGTTCTTTAATTATGACAAAGCGTGAGCTCTCGTAGCTAGAAGCTCATGCAGACATATATGCAGTAACACTACTGGCAAAGTCCTTTTTGTTTTACTTTAATTAAAACTTGTAAGATTTATTTATTTTATTTTATGTGTATGAGTGTTTTACCTGCATGTATATATGTGCACCACATGTTGGTTTGAGTGCTTGCAGAAGTCAGAAGAGGAAATGGAGTTATAGATGGCTGTGAACTGTCATATTAGTGCCGGGAACCAAGCCCAAGTCCTCTGTAAAAGCTATGATGCTCTAAACTGCCGAGCATGTCTCCAGCTCTTAAAAATGTTTTTTCTGGGGACAACGTCTCACTTGGTAGCCCAAGTCTGTGATAACCACCCCGTCTCAGTCTCCTGAACACTGAGATTACATGTGTGAACCACAGAGCCTGGCTAAATACCTTTGTATTGTTTGCTAGGTTTTTACTGTTAGTCTGTAAGATATGAGGCATTTTAATTTACAGACATATGATCCAATGAACAAATTGGAACTTCAAAGGATATCTCTATGGACTCTAATTGACCACTACATCTATTTTATTGTCTGCTAAATTTTGAGTAGGAAGTCACCATTGTACGCTCAATCACAAATAGAATTTGCCCCCCTCTTTGTTTATAAGGTTACTTTTGTATTTAGCTCTTAATAACTACATACCTCTTTTTATGTACATTTTATCATTAAAAATGAGAGGGTTGCTTCTGTCCCCTCAGTAGCCACTGACTGCTTCATCTAGGGGTATGGCCTTGGCAGCTTGATGCTGGCATTACTTAGGTCTTGTTTCGGGAACCACAGTGCTGCGATTTCATGGATACAGCTTTCCTGTAATGTCTAGAAGACACTACCTCACAGCAAGGTTCCTCCACATAGGCAACTTCCCCACATAGCATCTTCTTGCTGCCCACTCTCATCATGAAAAGAAGTTATTCCTTTCAGAAGTTACATATCTAATATATGCCATACTTAAAACTATCTGTTCTTATGAGCCTTTGATTACTTTATATGATTATGATTATCAAATACCCAAGTTTTATCATTCATTAGAGGCAGCCCCCTTCTTGCCTTTCCTGGTCTTTTATTACCCCATCATTTCACACTCTATATGAACCTACCTGCTACTTTAAAGATGTGGTAGCTTGAATGAGAATGTCCCCCATAAACACATAAATATGAACGACTGGTTTCCAGTTAGTGGACTGCTTAGGAAGGATTAGGAGGTATGGCCTTGTTGAAGATGTGTCACTTCAGGGTTGGGTTGGGGCACAGGGTGGGACAGGATTTGAAGTTTAAAAAGCCCAAACTGGGCCCAGTCTCCCTCCCCTTCTGCCTCTTTATCAGGATCTAAGCTCTCATGCCAGCTGGCCAGCCGCCACACCTCCACCATAATGACCATAAATTAACCCTATGAAACTGCTTCCAATTAAATGATTTATTCTATAACTAAGACAAAAGGCACACTTTTGTTTTTTTCTGTTTACTTCTGTTGTTTTGAGACAGACTGACTATGGAGCCCAAGCTGGTCTTGAATTCTCAATCCTCCTGACTCATCATTCTGAGGGCTGAGACTACAACACTATACCTGGCTATGCATTTTCGTTTCTTTTCTTTTTTCTTTCTTTCTTTATTATTATTATTATTATTATTTTTTGAAACAGGGTTTCTGTGTATTGTTTTGGAGGCTGTCCTGGAACTCACTCTGTAGACCAAGCTGGCCTCAAACTCACAGAGATCCGCCTGCCTCTGCCTCCCGAGTGCTGGAATTAAAGGCGTGCACCACCAATGCCTGGCTGCATTTTCTTTTCTAAGAAAGATTTTATTCTACTATTTTTGTTGTTGTTGTTGTTGTTGTTGTTACTGTTTTGAGATAGGGTTTCTCCATATAGCCCTGGTCATTCTGGAACTTGCTTTGTATATCAGGCTGGCCTCAAACTCTGTCTCCTGAGTGCTGGGATTAAAGGAATGTGCCACTACTGTCAAGCTATTATTATTTTAAATTTTGTGTAAATATGTGTGTTTGTGCAAGTAAGTGCAGGGCCTAGGAAGGTCAGCAGAGGTTATTAGGTCCCCTGGAACTGGAGTTACAGTCAGTTATGAGTTACTTCACACAGGAGCTAAGAAACTGAACTTTAGCCTTAGATAAGGAAAGTATAGGCTCTTAACCTCTTAGCAGCAAAACCCATCTCTAGCCCCTGCCTGCCCCTATCAGCACTCTCCTGCCCCTCCTTTAGAACATTTTAAAATTTTTTTCGTGTGTGTGTGTGTGTGTGTGTGTGTGTGTGTGTGTTAGCACGCACATGTGAGTGTAGGTGTTTGTGGAGGTCAGATGACGATAATGGATCCCCTGGAGCTAGAAGTACAGGCAGCTGTGATCTGCTAGACAAGGGACAACAGTGCTAGTTAGTGAACTATGGGCCTTTGCAACAGCAATGCATACTTTTAGCCATGACATCTTCTACAGATCCCAAATTTACTTTTTGCAAACTCTCTGTTTTAATTGTCTTACTCTCTACATCTGCAATGTTCTTTACTTTCTGCTCTACCACAGAAATCTCATTTATTGGTAAAGACCCTGCCTAATGGCACTTCCTTTAAGAAGTACTTCTGATTCCTCCAATGAAAATTATCTTTTCTCCACATTTCCTAGCTCAGTGGTACACAGTGGACTCAATAAATATTTACAAAATGAGTGAAAATGAGTTACCATAATATGCCAGATTCTTGGCAGGGACTGTTGCTTTTTGTATACCATCTAGCATACAGAGAGCAGTCAATAAACCCTGAATGGAGCTCACTGCAAAGACAAGCAAGAGAAACCTAGAGGGCCTTTGGGTTTTAGCATTAAGCCTTTGCATTAAACAAAACAAAACAATATAAAATCAAGGTTAGCTAAATCAATTAAATAGATCAGCTGTGCTATCAGACGGAGAGAGACAATGCAACACTGTTCTAGAGGCAGTACTGTCCACCACACCAATACAGAACTCAGGTGAACAGAGAAGCTACCAATTAGGCATTTATTGATAAGTCTTTCTTGATTTGTGTAACATGGAATATTACCTGAATAGAAACTTCCATGTATTAAAACAGTAAATTCCCATGTATCACCAAACAACAATTCTACCCCAGGAAAAGTAAACTCATAAGCAGTCTTTGAGAAGTTATAAAAGTTCAGGGGGCCTTAAAAAGAAAATAAGGGAGGGAAGGAAAGAGGGAGGGAGAGAGGGAGGGAGGGAGGGAGGGAGGGAGGGAGGGAGGGAGGGAGGGAGGGAGGGAGGGAGGGAGGGAGGGAGGGAATCAGTCAGGCACACAGCTGGCCTGGACAGCTCACAGCTAGTTGTAACTCCAGTGGAGATCCAAAGCCCTTATTCTGAACTCTGCAGGCACTGCATGCATGTGGTGTGTAAACATACAGCCAGACAAATATTCTCACATGCAGAGGCTAGAAGATCTTTGAGTTTGAGGCTAGCATGGTCTACACAGTGAGTTTCAGGTTAGCTGAACCCAGGTCTTCTGCAAGAGCACTAAATGCTGTTAAATGCTGAGCCATCTCTCCAGTTCTCACCTTGTTTTTTGAGACAGGATCCCTCACTGGGATCTTGAACTTACTGATTCAGCTAGGCTGGCTGGCCAGCAAGCTCCAGGGATTCTCCTGTCTTTGCTCCCCTAACACTGATAGTAAAAACACCATGACCATGCATCGGTTTTTATGTAGGTGTTGGGTGTAGAACTCAGTTCCTCATGCTTATTCAGAAAGCACTTTCCAACTAAGCCATCTCCTCAGGCCCATTGGTTCCTTTAAAAAGGTACATTCATAATATACATAAGTCTGTAGAGGTCAAGCTTGAATAATTTTCTTAACCAAATGTCAATTCCAAATATGCCCTTTCAGTGATTCTTGACTCTCTCCTCATCTTCTGAACTCAGTTAAACAGCCCTTCCAGTAAAGCATTTCCACAGCTGTACCAGGCTAGAATACTAAGTCCCATTTAGGACTAAGTCTCACCTGCACCCTCATTCCAGATCTCCACCAGTGTGGAGAAGCCACACACAGTCTCAAGAATGGGGACTTAAGGCAAATGTGTTATCTCTATGGATAATAAAAACATAACACTCTTTTGAATGCTTCCCCAAAGCATGGATACCTGAACAGCTCCATGCCTAACTGCTAAGAATTTCAGAGAAACAATCCCAGAAGGGGTCAAATCACTTTTAGAACAAATACAAATAAACACCCCCAGAAATCTCCAGTAAGACTTTAATTTAATTGGGGTACTCAGAGTAATTGTCTTTGGTGTTGACAAGTAGAAAATCATTTAGCATGCATTATGCATGCATAAGAGTGTTCACGCGTGTTTGTGTGTGTTGCTAGGCTTGGGCATGGTTGGCAAGCACTCTGTTGCTGAGCTCCATTCCCAATGGAAATCATTTAACTATTTTTTTTTCTCGATCCTTTTTTTTTTTTTTTGAGCTAAGATCTCATGCAGCCCAGGCTGACTTCAAACTTTAACTTCCTATGTAGTCAAAGGTGACTGACTTTCTGATCCCCTGCCTCCACCTCAGAGTGCTGGGATCATAGGCATAAATCACCACACCTGGTTTTATGCCGTGTGGAGGATCAAACCCATAGCTCCACGAATGCTGGTTGTGCCCTCTACCAACTCAGCCATACTTCCAACCCAATCACTTAACTTTTGTTCTCTGGAAGGCTCCTTCCTTCTGCCAGTGAATTTAACTGATCTTATGTCAGTGATAGTAAACCCTCCCCTGAAAACTCCAGAAAACTTGCTTAGTGTTAGTTGAGCTTAGGATAGTTGAAGTAGGGTCCAGTTCTGTGTGACCAATAACTCATCAATACCCAGCACTCAGCCTTGGCTGCTGCACCCGCTTGGTTACCTGTGATGCAGTCAGGCTGGGCGGTGCTGCTGACTGCTGGGCGTGCTGCTGCTGCTGCTGCTGCTGCTGCTGCTGCTGTTGTTGCTGCTGCTGCTGCAGTGGCTGTAGTGGCTGTAGTGGCTGCTGCTGTGCTGTTTGTAGTTTATTTTCAGACTGTGACAATGGCTGTATCTGGAACTTGTCCGGCTGCTCTTGCTTGACTATCAGGTTCTTCCGCAGCTGTTCAACTACTCTTTTCTACCAAACGAAAACAAAAACCCATCAGAATGTTGTTCATTCTCCAACATCTTTCCACAGCTACCTTCCTCTAAAGTATTTTTTTTAAGTTCATCTAAAATTTACAGATTCTAACACGAGGAACTCAAAGAACCTTATAGATATTTTACTGTGCAAACGCTGTTATATATAAAGGAAACTGAAGCATACAGATTTACAAAGTGAAGCAGAGCTTACCCTCCCTTCCTTTCGCGCTTCCTCCTTTTTTTCCTTCCCCTCTTCTTTCTTCTCCCCTGCCCACACCCTTTCTTTGAGGTAGCTTCACTATGTAGTCCAGTGGACCTGTCCTGCTTCAGCCTCCCAAATGCTAGGATTATAGGGATGAGCCGCTATGGCCAGTTTAGATTTTTTTGTCTTTTTTCTTTTTAAATTTAAATTAGAAACAAGGTTGCTTTTCACATGTCAATCCCAGCTCCCTCCCTTCCTCCCAGTTTAGATTTCTTGGCTATTGTCAATTTAGCATGTGAGGTTAGAAGAGCAGAACAGCACAGCAGTAGAAGCATAACTCTACAGCTATAATACCTAAACACACCCAATTTATACCCTTCTGGGCTGATGTTTTTAACCTACCTGCCCCTTAGTGCCCTTGTCTGTAAAATGAGACAACAGAGTCCCTCTTATGAACAACAACAGAGCTGATCTATACACTCAGAACTGACTGGCACATTACTGGTCATTATTAACTTTTTTCATCTGATGCTCAACTATTCAAGCAAGCAACATGTATCTATCCCACTTTGAAACATTAAGTAGGGTTCAGGACATAGTTCAGTGGTACAACATTTGTGTAACAGTTGCAAGGCCCTAGGTTCAATCCATAGTAACACTCTTTCTCTCTCCCACCCTTGTTTTTAAATAAGGAAACTGCTATATGCTATATAAACAAAAAACATTCTGGATTACTGAAATGTATAACTGCTAGGCAGAGTAGAAGTTTAATTACATGGAATAGAAATTTAAAGTCAAGCTGGACATACATCTTCAATCTCAGTATTTGGGAAGCAGAGGCAGATGTACCTCTGTGAGTTTCCAGGCTAGCTTGGTCTACATAGTGAGTTCTAGGATGGCCAGAACTACATAGTAAGACCTTGTCTCAAACAAAAACAAGGAAAAAAATAAATAAGAAAATTTAAAGTCAACGTTTATAAACTTCCTGGGCTGTGCTTTAAAAAAAGAATGTATTTTTTTATTTTGGATATTTTCATTATTATAATAATCTGTCCCTCCTTACCTGCCTCCCTCCTGCCTGCCTTTCTGTTCTTTTTTTGTTTAGGGCAGTGATTCTCAAACTGTGGGTCACAACCCCTTTGGAGAATCGAACAACCCTTTCACAGGGGTCACCTTGATCATTGGAAAACACAGACATTTACATTATGAATCATAACAGTAACAAAGTTACAGTTGTGAGGTAGAAATAAAATAATTTTCTGGTTGGGGTTCACCACCAGATGAGGAACTGTAATGCAGCATTAGGAAGTTTGAGAACCACTGGTGTAGGGGTTGACCATACAGCTCAGGGACCCACCCCACAATCTGGGGCAGGCTGGACTGACTTTCCTGTCTCAATGGCTAGCAGAAGGGAAAACATCTTTCCTCCTCTAACACTTTCAAGTGTAGTTTTTTATTTCTGATACTAAAGGTTGATATTTTCTGATACTATGACCAAATAAAATGAGGTTTAGTGCTAGCTGAGATTAGTATAGTTTTGATTAATTAACTTTTTGAGATAAGGTCTCACGCATAAGGTTCTCCCAGGCTAGTCTCAAACTTACTGTGTAGTCAAGGATGACCTTGAACTGATCTTCTTTGGAGTTCTGGAATATATGTGTCACCACCACACTTAGTTTATGCAACGTAGGGGGTCAAACCCAGGGCCTTACGTATGTTAGTCAAACATTCTACCAACTGAACTACATCCTCTGCCTTCAGAAGAATGCTTTAAATAAAGGGCTAATGAAATCCAGAACAGTCAGGTTAATTTGCAAATTTCTAATGTGGTTCTAACTGGCTTTGTCACTCACAGTCTCTAAAGAATCTGAGTCCAAAAGCTACTTCACTTAGCATGTTGGAATGGTAAAACATTCACAAAATGGATTTTTAAAACACTTAAGTAAATACTAAATACATTCTTGAAAAAAATTTAAGTATTGTTAACGATTCTTTTCAGACAACGAAAATATCACATAAAGGCTGATTTGGGGGAGGGCCTGACTGTATATTACACCCCCATACTAGCACAACCTTTTTGGGTAAAATTCTTTTTAATGCAGTCCAAGATTTTTTGGAGAAGACACAAGCAGAATAGAAAATTTAATAAACCATAAGATGCTTATAAAAATAATGTTTAAGTCTTCAAACTGTATTTCTTGAGTATGAAAGGCACTGCAATGGAAGTGCTACAGTTTATGGGAGGCAGTACTGCAGGTAATTGTGAGCGTCATACAAAGATGTTAATACTGGGTGCCTGTCTGAACACTTAAGATGTTTAAAAATTCAATAATTATTAGAGCTGCTTTCAGTCTTCCTCCCCATCAGATATCAAGCATGCATCACCAGAGAAAGAGGCTCCTAATTTTTTTAACATAAAAAAAACAGAGGAGAGAAACCAGGAGGCAAACAAGAGGGTGATACCTGCCAAAGGGGAAGAGAGGGTGGGGAAGGGTGGAACTATGAAGGAAACAGTACAGGAAACTAAGCAGTGTCCAGGCACAGAAGGACAGGATGTTCTCTCCTGTATAGCCACCTTTAGGAACTAGAGTGTGTTGTCCTGGTTACTGCCCACTGAAGTGAGCTACAAGGAAGACACAAAGCCCAGGACCTGCTCCAGTGCAATGGCAAGGAACAGCAGAGGCAAGAACTAAAGAGATGCAGGTTAGAGCACTCTGCAGCCAGATGGCTAGAGCAGGGGGATGGCCAATCAGAACCAGAGGCAGAGTGGTACTCAAGTGAGTCACATTGCATTCATAACTGTTCCTCCCCAGAGCTGGTGGGGAGGGAAACCTACTCCAAATACTTGTAAAGCTGCATCAGTCCTTAGGGGGAAGGAAAAAAGCCTGTGGGTTGGACATTTCGGATCACATGAGCTGGGTAAAGTTTCCTTTAGAAGACAGCTCCAGTATTTCAAAGCACTGCCCAGACCAGAACAGTTTGACCTCTGTCCCTCTGCATTCACCAACTGCAATACCATAGGTTGTGTTTTTCTGAAAAATTTGAAAGCTCAAGGTTTGGGGAATGTTGTTGCTTCCTGTCACTTAAATGTATGATTGCAGTTAGAAACCCAAGGATGGAAAGCAGAGCTCTGTTGCAGAGACATGCCTAGGAAGAGGTGCCCTGCACAACACTAGCAAGGCCAGGCTGCTGAGGGCGCCCTGCACAGTCTCCGATACTCAGACAAATGCAGAAACAGTTCAGAGGACTCTGGATGTGGGTCAGCACCAAATCTGGGTAAAGGTGAAAGAAGACAATGATAGCATATCAGAAATCCTTACCAAGTGTGATCAGGCAGCATTCTCAATGCTCCATACAAAGGACACTCTTTCACTGTCCCAGGAGATGAGCCTACACTTTCACCACTGTGTTTTGAACAAAGAAATCATGTTTGTTTGTTTGTTTTGTCAGCCATTATTGGAGGTAACACTAGTATAAACAGTATATTTTCAATAGTGTTCACATGTGAGAGAGATCTTTGAATGTGGCTAATTATTTCAGTTCATTATCCTGAAGTTCTCAGAAAAGATTAAATATCACAAATTGGCCATCTGACATTTCTAAAAAGTTTTAAAAATCATTATTAATATTATTAATTAATTAATTTTGGAAAGAGGGGCCCTCCATATACTGTTGGCTGTCCTGGAACCTAATATGTAAACTAGGTTAGACTCTAACTCACAGAGATCTGCCTGCTTCTGCCTCATAAGTATTGGGATTAAAGGCCTGTGCCACCATACTCAGCTTGAAAAGGTTTGTTGTTGTTTTGTTTTTTATTAAAAAAAGGAAGTGGTAACTGAAGGAAATGAAAAAGAAAATTTAGAAAGAACGATGGTAGAAGGGAGGGAGGAAGTAAACAACTTCTAGACTTTTCTATCAACAACAGGCCAGTGCAGCCTGCTCCTGGAAGGACTGGTCCTGTCCCTTCAATCCCTCTGTCAAGTGCTGCATAAACCTAGCCTGTGCCTAGCGCCTAACCTCTGTGATCAGGCAGAAGAGCTCACAGTGATCAATATTGTGACATTCAATGATATTATCAACATGTTCACATCACAAAGATGGGTACAAAAGGAAAAATATACAATTGTATAGAACCCATTATCTCAAGCAGCTGTTCCAAGTTCCCTGGCCAAAAACACAGAAGGAGATGGAGAATGGGAGGACAATCCTGTCACTCGGCATTCAAGCCATCCCTCGTGTCCATCACATCTGTGTATAGATTCTAGGGTGTGTCTCTAAGAAGAATCTCAAGCACTGGACTCTTTTCTCCATAGCTGGATGCCAGTGCTTCAAACCTCTACTTTTGCACAAGATCAACTGGTTTGTGCTCCGTGCAGCATCATCTATTCTGAACCAATTACGAGAAAGCCACACCCACTCAAAAATCTTCTTTCAAAGTAATGTCTTAAACACTTACCCTTTCTTCCCAAGACCTAATGTGTAATCCGAAAATGTGACCTTTACCTTTAAGCAAGAGGCTAACTGAGAAGTTTTGAAACTAAAATGTGACAAACTAGTCTCATTCATCTTCATTTGGACTAAATGAGCATATGTCCAGATCTTCGGACTCAGCCACTGCTCACAATGAAAGCAGTGTATTAAATTTTATGTGACTAGAGAAACTAACCCTGAAAATTTTGTATTTGTTGGTATCAGAATTTATCAGATGGTACTGAGGGAGTGAGGAGGGGGACGTTCTGTTACTCAACTGGAATTTAACTACTGCATTTATAATTAACCATACTCATTAATGC